GGGATCACCCTGATCTCTGGGGGCAGCTCATTCCAGAGGGTGGGAGCTCCCACAGAGAAGGCCCTCCCCCTTGGGGTCGCCAGCCGGCACTGTCTGGCCGACGGCACCCTGAGGAGACCCACCCTGTGGGAGCGTACAGGCCGATGGGAGGTAATCTGTGGCAGAAGGCGGTCTCGAAGGTATCCCGGTCCGCTGCCATAGAGCGCCTTAAAGATGATAGTCAGCACCTTGAAGCGCACCCGGAAGGCCACCGGCAGCCAATGCAGCTCGCGCATTGGTTATTCACATTGATTTGATTTGTATTTAATTATATAGAGAGAAGGACCAGGGGGGACATGACAGCAGCCTTCCAATATTTCAGGGGCTGCCCCAAAGAAGAGGGAGTCAAGCTCTTCTCCAAAGCACCTGAAGGCAGGACAAGAAGCAACGGATGGAAACTCATCAAGGAGAGAAGCAACCTGGAACTAAGGAGAAACTTCCTGACAGTGAGAACAATTAACCAGTGGAACAACCTGCCTCCAGAAACTGTGAATGCTCCAACACTGGAAGTTTTTAAGAAGAGATTGGACAGCCATTTGTCTGAAATGGTATTAAGGTTTCCTGCCTGAGCAGGGGGTTGGACTAGATGACCTCCAAGGTCCCTCCCAACTTCACTTTTTGGAGCTGCAAGGCCAGCTGAGAGGAAGAGCCAAAGGATGAGGGAGGGAAAGAGCTGGACCAAATTTGGAAGTGTCTGTGTTGTCTCACCTACGATGGTGCAACCCACAGAATATTTTACTTTATTACAGAATAATAAGAGTTGGAAGGGACCTTGGAGGTCTTCTAGTCCAACCCCCTGCTCAAGCGGGAAAGCCTATACCATTGTGGACAAATGGCAGTCCAATCTCTTTTTAAAAACCTCCAGTGATGGAGCACCCAAAACTTCTGGAGGCAAGGAGTTCCACTGGTTAATTGTTCTCACTGTCAGGAAGTTTCTCCTTAGTTCTAGGTTGCTTCTCTCCTTGATTAGTTTCCATCCGTTGCTTCTTGTCCTGCCTTCAGGCGCTTTGGAGAAGAGCTTGACTCCCTCTTCTTTGTGGCAGCCCCTGAGATACTGGAAGGCTGCTATCATGTCCCCCCACGTCCTTCTCTTCGTTAAACTAGACATCCCCAATTCCAGCCACCATTCCTTATATGTTTTAGCCTCCAGTCCCCTAATCATCTTTGTGGCTCTTTTGAAATATAGAATAATAGAATTGGAAGGGACCTTAGAGATCCTCTAGTCTAACCCCTTGCTCAAACAGGAAACCCTCTCCCATTGCAGACAAAAGGCTGTCCAGTCTCTTTTTTTGCTTTTGATTTATTTTGACTTCGCTTTTGCTGACTGGATGAAATCGCCTTAAAATGTTGTCCTAAGCTGCATTTATTGAAAAACATGATCTGTCCACGCTTAATAATAGATTGCGATCTCCTTTCTGCAGGCTTTCATTTTTGGTTATTGTGGGATTGCCATTCCCCTCCCCTCCCCCAGCCACACTATAATTGCATAAAAAATCCAGAGTTTTCAACCTAATCGTGCCTACGTCTGCCCTGTAAAAATAAATAGAAGCCAATTGCAGAATGTTTAGCGTTCCAACTCAATGTTTACCCTTGCATATTGTCCAATTTTATCTACATTGTTTCTCATTGGACTTCAACGATTCTTGTCGATAGATCTCAATAACTGCAACGGTTAGATATGTTTATTCAGCAATAAATCTCACCACCAGCAGTGGGACGTACTCCTAGATAGCTGTATAAAACATTTGACAGCATTTCATTTCATTTAGCCCTGTTAATTTAGTCCTTCGATCATACAGGAGAGCATTGTTGTTGTTATTTAATTCAACTGGGGTCTTAATTTAATGCAATTTCCAATCTTACAAAAGAGCCCGACTATTGTTAGCGTTTACTTTATCAAGAGCAGCTGCTTCCAACCTCAGTACACTTACACGAAAAGGGCAGCTGGAATTTAATTTAATTTAATTTAATTATTTCTGCAGGCTTTATTCTCCGTTCGAATCAGGGTCTGCTTTTCACGTCGCAGTATATCCTGTCAAGCTAACGTTACAACTCTTTTGTCCAGTTGAAATTTGCCGATGATTCATGCCTTTCTAATTTAGGACGCCTTTTGACGCGCAGCCAGCCTGAAAGCTAACTTTTGCCATCCCAGATTTCATTACATTCACGGTTTCCAGCAAATCCAGGCGTATGCATCCACTCAGAAACTCTGCTTGTTTCCAAAGAGCAAAGGGGACCTAACCCAGAAAAAAGTGTGTGCAGGAATTGCAGCATTGTAAATAATAATAATAATAATAATAATAATAATAATAATAATAATAATAATAATAATAATAAAAAAAAGCAGTTTAAGCATTAAGAAAAAAAAAACAACGAAGAATTTTAAGCCCATTAAAGTCTTAGCATCCACCCCGGTGATTAAGAGTTCCAAGTTAAGAGTCCAAGTTAAGAGTCTATCAGATTGCATCAGAAATCCGAACGCAAAGAGAGAGAGAGAGAGTAAAATTCTTTTTTTTTCTTTCTTTCTTTTCTTTCCTTCCATCATAGGTGCTTCCCCAATCTACAGTTTTTAAGCCTCGCGCACTGCAGGAAATTCACCGACAAAGGCTTACACTACCTGGGCAGTGGACGAGGATGTCACAAGCTCCTGTATCTGGATATTTCAGGCTGCCTCCAGGTCTGCATTTTGATTTCCCTCTTCATGCTGCAACCAAAGCCATCCTTTGGAGGACTGACGTTATCCGACACTCATGGTATACTGGAGGAGTGCAAGTCTCCCCCCCCCAACACACACACACACTGCAAACTCCAGCGGTTTTAAATTACACTTCCACAGGACGAAATTAAAAAGGGCCTCCCTAGCGCGATATCCGAAAACCGACAGGAGGTCGCCCACAGATGTGAGATTTGTTCAGGGAGTAACGTATTACTTTCGTACCTAATTAAAAGGACGTCGCCCGAACTTTCTGCCCGCACGAGACGAAAGGCACCGCCCGACTTTCCCCCGTCTGCAGTTTGAAATTCCGGCTGGAAAATATATATATATATATACAGATAAGCTTCAGCTCAATGTAGTTTTTTTATTATTATTATTATTATTGCAAAGCGAGACACCAGTTAAGTGAGTTCGGCTCCGTTTGTTGTTTTTTTTTACAACCTTTCCCGCCCACGGTTGTTAAGAGGATCACTGCAGATGTTCAGTTAGGAACACGGTTGTTAAGGGAATTTGGCTTCCCCCCCCACACCCCCATTAACTTGGCTTGTTAGAAGGTTGCAAAAGGGGATCCCACCACCCCCACATACACACACAGTGGTGGGGTTCAAATAGGTGAGCAACCGGTTCTCTGCGTGGATGCCGCTTCCGGAAGTTTGTTCTGGGCCTGGGCAACAAAAAATTAGCTACCGGTTTTGCCGAAGTGGTGGGAACTGGCTGAATCCCACCACTGTATCTTATCATCCGTCCGTCTGTCCATCCACCCACCCATCCATCCATCCATCCATCCATCTATCTTATCTATCTATCTATCTATCTATCTATCTATCTATCTATCTATCTATCTATCTATCTATCTATCTATCTATCTATCTATCTATCTATATCTTATCTATCTATATCTATTCTATTCTATTCTATTCTATCTATATCTATCTATCTATCTATCTATCTATCTATCTATCTATCTATCTAGCTATCTAGCTATCTATCTATCTATCTATCTATTCTATCTATTCTATCTGTCTATTTATCTATCTTTATCTATCTATCTATCTATCTATATCTTATCTATCTATATCTATTCTATTCTATTCTATCTATATCTATCTATCTACCTATCTACCTATCTACCTATCTATCTATATCTTATCTATTCTATTCTATTCTATTCTATTCTATTCTATTCTATTCTTTTCTATTCTATTCTATTCTATTCTATTCTATCTACCTACCTACCTACCTACCTACCTACCTACAGTGGTGGGATTCAGATATGTGAACAACCAGTTCTCTGCATGGATGCTGCTTCTGGAAGTCCGTTCTGGGCCTCGGCAACAAAAAATTAGCTACTGGTTCTGCCGAAGTGGTGTGAACTGGCTGAATCCCACCACTGTATCCATCCATCCATCCATCCATCCATCCATCCATCATCTATCTACAGTGGTGGGATTCAAATAGGTGAACAACCGGTTCTCTGAAGTCCGTTCTGGGTCTGGGCAACGAAAGGTTAGCCACCGGTTCTGCCAAAGTGGTGCGAACCAGCTAAATCCCACCACTGCCCTCCCCAGGACATTACGACCGTCATAAATGTGAGTCAGTTGCCAAGCCTCAGACTGTAAATCACGTGACTATGGGGATGCTGCAACGGTCCTAAATGTGAAAAATGGTCCTCAGTCCCTTTTTTTTCAGTGCCGTCGTAACTGTGAATGTTTACTAAATGAACTGTTGTAAGTCAAGGATTATCTGTGCCGGAGTCTTTGCTTGTCCACGGCATTCCAGAAACTGGTCCACGCAAACTAGTCTAGTCTAGTCTAGTCTAGTCTAGTCTAGTCTAGTCTAGTCTAGTCTAAATTCTATTCTGTTCTGTTCTGTTCTATTCTATTCCTTTATTTCTATTCTATTCTGTTCTGTTCTGTTCTATTCCTTTATTTCTATTCTATTCTATTCTATTCTATTCTATTCTATTCTATTCTATTCTATTCTATTCTATTCTATTCTATATTGTCTTCTTACACTAGGGAGTTGCAGATCTATGCAGTAACGGAGAGATGATGTCTACAAAGGCTATAACCATTATTTTCACTGTTCAACCTTTTATTGCTTTTTCTTAAGAAATGTCAATAGAAATGTTAAATCACTGAAAAGTGATTTAAAGTACAAGCAGCTTAGCTTGCAGCATCTCCTCAAGAGTGCTATCATCTAACTCCAAGTCCAGTTAAATCATAATTACAAATTATTTCCAGGGAACTGAGTCAGCTAGCTCAAGCAGAATACTCAGCGGATGTTTCTAAGTATTCTTGTTGAAATGGATTTGGATGGGGTGGTTAGAGAAGCAACGGTTTTTACTAACTAGGATCAGAACAGCATTTCAAGGTGAGAAGGTGAGAGAAGGGTTCTAATGATTGCTGCACAGGGTGTCCTTGACTTACAACCGAGTCACGGCAGCCTTGAGAACAGGGACTTGTGACCATTTTTTCCACACCTACGACCGTTGCCGTATCCCCAGGTCACACGACCAGAATCCAGAGGCTCGGCAACTGGCGTGCATCGCTGACAGCTGCACAGTCATGGGGTCACGTGATCCCCTTGTGGCGACCTTCCCGGCTGGCGCCCGAGAAGCAAAGTCCGTGGAGAAAGCCAGATTCATTTAACAACCGCACAATTCACTTAATAATGGGGGCAAAAAAAAGCTTGTCAAACGGGGGGCAAAACTCACTTCACAACCGCCAATGGAAATTTTATCCTCCCTTGCCGTCGTAAGTTGAGGATTCCCTGTAATTCAGACTGCAGTGGCTGCTCAACAGATGTGAAGCGTTTTTTGTCCCCGGCGATTTAGCATCCAAAGAGTTTCCTCCAAGCATCCTCCAGCGATAAATCACCCGATGAAGCCGTTGTCCTAGCAATGACGGAGGGATTTTCTAAGCCGTCGTAAATCATGGCCGTAGGGAAGAAAATGGCCAGGGACAGCCAATAATGCCGAGTCAGCAACTCGGCCTGCTCCGCACTTCATATTTGGCAAGGAAACTCCAGAAGAGCTTAATGTCTCTGGATTACTTCTGTGCCTCTGTTTGCTCAAAGTATTTCAGTTTCTGCTCTTCCGACACCTCCGAAACCCAACGTCTCTCCGAGAAAAAGCAGAGTTTATAAATGCGTTTTGCTTATTTTTCATCGGGGTCGTCAGGCTTTTTTCAAAACATTGCGGTCCCGTTGTGTACATTAGGAGGATTAAATGTGGCCCGTGCAATAATTCACACTTGACATCGTAAGCCTAATGAATTGCTTGCGTTAGCTTCTCTTGACTTTAGGAAAGGTATAGCTCAAGCTCTCGGGCTGCAGAATTCGTCTCTTACTCCTTTCAGCGGGAGGCAAATCTCTTGAAACGCACGTGCAGCCACCGATCTGGAAGAGGAGGCAGAGATAAATGCAGATTTCTCTCCCCTTTCACGTCACTCTTGTCTAGAGGCCTATGGTGTGTGTGTATATGTGCGCACGTGCTGGATTTTGCCGATGTGGAATACCTGAAAGAGGTGAACCGATTTGCCATGTACAAAAGTTGTTACAAATACAGGTAGCCCTTGTCTTAACAAACATTCATTTAATGACCGTTGGAAGTTAAGCAATGGCACAGAAAAAAGTGACCTACGATCCTTTTTCACAGTTAGGACCATTCCCCCATGGTCACGTGATCAGAATTAGAACGCTTGGCAACTGACATGTATTTATGACGGTCGCAGTGTCCCGGGGTCACGTGATCACCTTTTGCGACATCAACAGGGAAGCCAGATTCATTTAGCAACCGGGTTAAGTGGTGGGATTCAGCCGGTTCGCACCGGTTCAGAAGAACCAGTAGCTAAATTTTGCTGCACTTGGAGAACCGGCTGGCTTCCAGAAGTCCAGTCTAGGCCTCGGAGGCCTGGAGGATGCCTCCCAGAAGTGCATGGATGCCACTCTGGAACGGCCCTCCGGAAGTGCATGGATGCCACTTCCGGAAGTTCGTTCTAGGCCTCAGCCTGGAGGAGGCCTCCTGGGCCTATAGAACGGCCCGCTGGAAGAGCGTGGATGCCACTTCCGGAAGTCCGTTCTAGGCCTCGGAGGCCTGGAGGAGGCCTCTCAGGCCTATAGAACGGCCCGCCGGAAGTGCGTGGATGCCACTTCTGGAAGTCCGTTCTAGATAGTCTTCCACTTACAACAACAGCTGAGCCCAAAATTTCTGTTGCTAAGTGCCCCATTTTACTTAGCAGCCAGGTTACTAACTTAACAACTGCCGTGATTCACTTAAAATTGTCGTAGGAAAGGTCATAAAATGGGGCAAAACTCACTTAACAACTGTATGAGAAAGTTTGGGCTCAATTGTGAAGGTAAGTCAAGGACTGCCTGTATTTTGTTTTTAGATTCGTGCTTAGTACATTGCAGCAAATTGCTTATAATTAATTTCCTTTTTAAAATATATATCTATATCTATATCAGTTAACGGTGGAAGGCTTCAGGAATATCGCGAAGAGCTGCAGCAGGATCCAGTGCCTGACAATTAACGAAATGCTGACTCTTACCGACAGATGCATTCAAGTAAGAAAGGAAACTTTTTTTTTACAACCTTGAATTTGGCTTTGGGCCTGAGAGTCTTAGGGACTAAAGAGCGATGACAGTTGAACGCGTAGAATATTGGCAGGTGAACGAGTGAGTTGGCAGTACTTGGAAATACTTACGACCACAATTGACCCCCAAATTTCTTTGTGGCAGCCCCAGGCAGGAAACACTAAAGGGTTAGGGTTAGGTCACCATGAACTCGGAGAGCAAAATGGACATCGCCAACAAATGTGGAATGCTTGGATATGGTTAGGAGGGCACTGACTTTTCTAGGCTGCCCAGTCTATGTTTCCTGGTAAAATACATTCTATTCTATTCTATTCTATTCTATTCTATTCTATTCTATTCTATTCTATTCTATTCTATTCTGCATTCCATTCCATTCCATTCCATTCCATTCCATTCTATTCTATTCTATTCTATTCTATTCTATTCTATATTTCTATTCTATTCTATTCTATTCTATTCTATTCTATTCTCATTCTCATTCTCATTCTCATTCCATTCCATTCCATTCCATTCCATTCCATTCTATTCTATTCTATTCTATTCTATTCTATTCTTCATTCCTAATTCTATTCTATTCTATTCTATTCTATTCTATTCTATTCTATTCTATTCTATTCTATTCTCATTCTCATTCTCATTCTCATTCTCATTCTCATTCTCATTCCCATTCCATTCCATTCCATTCCATTCTATTCTATTCTATTCTATTCTGTTCTATTCTATTCTATTCTACAAGCTTCCATAACTCAATGAAAATATCAAACTAGTCTGTGTTTGATATAAACAGATAAATTTGCTGTTGGGATATTTTTTTGGGAAAGAAATGGAAAAAAACCCACTAAATATCTATACAATTTTGCATGTTCTAGTTCAGGAGTCCCCAACTTTGGGTCCGTGGACCAGTACCGGGCCACGGCACGCCAGCAACCGGTCCGCACAAACAAGCAAAGCCCCATCCATGGGATGCAGGCAGCACACAAAACCACACACCCTCCCGGAAAAACTTTTCTCCGTGGAACCGGTCCCTGGTGTCCCAAAGGTTGGGGACCTCTGTGCTAGTCTATTCCCCATACTTAAAAAAAGAAAGGAAGATTTTGGAAAGGAACTGGGCAAATTAATAGCAGATGAAGCCGTGATAGGCAGAAGTCATGTTTCTCAATACCGATTGTTGACAAATGCCAGGAACCGAAAGCAATGGAGCTTTTCTTGACCTCTGCAGAAACAGAATATTGGACATTAAACAGACCCTCGGCCTGATCAGCCTGTTTTTCAGGTTGAAATAGTGAAGACTCTGGCCCCCATCATTTCCTGTGAGTGATCTGTCCAACATTCAGAAATCCCTTGTGTATCTCGGCTTTATTTAAACCATGAGCTCCGCAGTTCCAGGGCACGCTTAGAAGATTTTTGAAAGACGCTGCCAAACAAGCCCGAGGGGTTAATTGGAAACTTTGGGAAGAGTATTTTGCTTTTTTTAAAGGCTTTTTTTTTTTGCCTCTTTAGAATATTGTTTATTGGCCAAGCGTGGTTGGACACACAAGGAATTTGTCTCTCAGCGTACACACAAATAATAACGATAATCACGGTCATATACAACATGAAAATGCATTCATCATAAATCACTTCGTCATAAATCATCGGATGCAACACTGAGTTGATAGTCATAGAATACTAGCTAAGCAAACAACATAAATCATACTCGGAGACTAAAAAAAACCACCCCAATATAAATAGTAAGATAGAAGCCGCAAAGTTATAGTCATAAGAAGATAAGGATAGGTAATAGGAAAAGATGAGGAGCATCATAGTAATATAGCTTTACTAAGTATTTTGACAGCGTTGTAGGAATTCGTTGTTCAGCAGAGAGATGGCATCATGGGGGGGGGGGAACTGTCCTTTTGTCTATAGTTGTTCTGGTGTGTGGTTACTACTGGTCTGCCTATCTTAAGATGAAACATGGCTTTGAAACCTTTGATAATGGTTCCTAATTCACCATAAAAACCAACACAGTCCTAGGCTGCATGAACAGAGGGATAGAATCAAGATCCCGTGAAGTATTAATACCACTTTACAAAGCCTTGGTAAGGCCACACTTGGAATACTGCATCCAGTTTTGGTCACCACGATGTAAAAAAGATGCTGAGACTCTAGAAAGAGTTCAGAGAAGAGCAACAAAGATGATTAGGGGATTGGAGGCTAAAACATACAAGGAACGGTTGCTGGAATTGGGTATGTCTAGTTTAATGAAGAGAAGGACAAGGGGGGATAGGATAGCAGGGTTCCAGTATCTCAGGGGCTGCCCCAAAGAAGAGGGAGTCAAGCTATTCTCCAAAGCACCTGAAGGCAGGACAAGAAGCAAGGGATGGAAACTAACCAAGGAGAGAAGCAACCTGGAATTAAGGAGAAACTTCCTGACAGAACAATTAACCAGCGGAACAACCTGCCTCCAGAAGCGGTGAATGCTCCAACACTGGAAGTTTTTAAGAAGAGACTGGACAGCCATTTGTCTGAAATGGACTATTCCTCCAATGGGATTTTCCCATGTATTTTACCAGGAAACATAGATAGGGCAGCCTAAAAAAGTCATTCCCCTCCTAACCATACCCAAGCACTCCGAGTTTGTTGGCAATGTCCATTTTGCTCTATGAGTTCACGGTGACCTAACCCTAACCCTAAGTGGAATTTTCCTCCAATGGGATTTTCCCATGTATTTTACCAGGAAACATAGATAGGGCAGCCTAGAAAAGTCACTGCCCTCCTAACCATACCCAAGCACTCCAAATTTGCATGAAATGGCATACAGAAAATGAAGTTTATTTTACTGTGTTGTTTTATCAAAAGGTGTTTTTATGAAAGGATGTCACGTGGTTAGTTGAATTGTGTCTTCCTCTCTTCAAGGCTTTGGTGCCAAAGTGCCCGAGGATTGAGTCGGTCGAATTCAATGAATCTCCACACGTGTCCGACGTTGGTTTCCAAGCTCTGGACGCCTGTCAACTGGTCAAAATGAAGATCCAAGGTTAGTGAACAACGTAGTAATTCTGACACACGTCTAGGGAGATTCTCAGTCAGTCCAGGTCCTGGTTATCCCAAAGGGGCTTTTTCTAGAGGCAACTGGACTTTCTTGTTTTTCTTTGAAGACGTTTCGCTTCTCATCCCAGAAGCTTCTTCCGCTCTGACTGGATGGTGGGGAGTGGAAGGATTTATACTCCTTGCAGACAGCTGGTCGTTTACATCCTTTTAGAGAGTCCTTGAGGCCACCTGGAGGTTTACCTGTGTCCTCAGGGTCACCTGAGTGGTGCAAATGGGTGGGGAGCCTTCTAGGCTGCAGGTTTTCTGCCCTGGGTCCCTCTGCTGTAGAAGACATGTCTGGCACATGTCATTTTTTTGAAGAACGATCCTGTTGCCCTTGACTGATGATCAGGGGACTGGAGGCTAAAACATATAAGGAACGGTTGCTGGATTTGGGGATGTCTAGTTTAATGAAGAGAAGGACCAGGGGGGACATGATAGCAGCGTGCCAGTATCTCAGGGGCTGCCCCAAAGAAGAGGGAGTCAAGCTATTCTCCAAAGCGCCTGAAGGCAGGACAGGAAGCGACGGATGGAAACTAATCAAGGAGAGAAGCAACCTGGAATATAAGGAGAACAGTTAACTGACAGTTAGAACAATTAACCAGTGGAACAACCTGCCTCCAGAAGTTATGGGTGCTCCAACACTGGAGGTTTTGAAGAAGAGACTGGACAGCCATTTGTCTGAAATGGTATAGGGTTACCTGCATGAGCAGGGGGTTGGACTTGATGACCTCCAAGGTCCCTTCCAACTTTATTATTATTATTATTATTATTATTATTATTATTATTATTATTATTATTATTATTATTATTATTATTATTACTTTAGATCAGACCTCCCCAACCTCCTCCGGGTTGGTGGCCCGGAGGGAAAGGGAGGAGCAGGGAAATGTACGGGCACGTGCATGCGCAAAACAGGCGCACACCTGGCAGCGGCACTAGCACACACACGCATGCACGAGTGGAGCGCACGCACCCACAGAGGCACTGGTGGCAGCGCTGGCACCTGCATGCATGTGCAAATGGGACGCTAGTGCATGCGCGCATGTGCAAATGGGCTGCTAGTGCCCCCAGGCATGCGCAAACGGGGCACTAGTACCCGCATGATGCTGGTGGTGGCGCTAGCTATGCACAAGCAGGGCTGCTAGCACCCGCACGGCGGCGCTAGCACAAGCGGGGAGGGAATAATAATAATAATAATAATTAATAATTAATAATTAATAATTAATAATAATAATAATAATAATAATAATAATAATAATAATAATAATAATAATAAAGTTGGAAGGGACTTTGGAGTCATCTGGTCCAACCCCCTGCTCAGGCAGGTAACCCTATACCAGGGCGCATGCACATGTGCGCACACTCGCCAGCCTTTCCCGCGGCCCAGTGGCCAATAGGCCACGAACCGGTACTGGGCCACGGCCCAAAGGTTGGGGACTCCTGCTTTAATAGAACTCTTGAGTTGCTACTACAATTAGTCCTCGACTTAACAACCATTCATTTAGCATCCGTTGGAAGTTACAAAGGGTTTGAAAAAAAGGGACTTATGACCAGTTTTTCACACTTAACGACAAATCGCAGCATCCCCCCGGGGTCACGTGATCAAAATTCAGACGCTTGGCCACTGACTCGTATCTATGACGGTTGCGGTGTCCCGGGGGTCATGTGATCCCCTTTGGGGTAAAACTCACTTAACGAATGTCTTGCTTAGTAACAGGAATCTGGGGCTCCCTTGTGGTGGTAAGCCGAGGACTACCTGTGCCGGGTATCTAGCGGTGGAAGTAGTTTTTTCCCATGCTGGCTTAGAGTGACCTGATGGTGGATTATCTCAACAGGGAGTAATCGTGTTACGGATCTCACATTCAAAGTCATGAGCAAATTCTGGCCCCGAATGAATCAGATTTGTGTAGCCAATTGCCAGAGAATAACAGATGTAGCCCTCAAGTTAATTGTACCGCTGGACCAAATTGTTATCCTCAACCTATCCGGCTGCACAAGGTATTGTTATAGTTACGTGATGGAATAGCTCATTCGAACGGAATTATTATTATTTTTCTATGCGTTCTGAAGTGTTGAGGTTGTGGCATTATATCCGTGTCAGAAAGAAAAAAAGGGTTGTCATAAAACCAAATGTGTACAAAAAAGGGGGGAAAATGACCCAAATATCAAATAAATTTAACATTAAACATATAGAATGTGATAGATAGATAGATAGATAGATAGATAGATAGATGATAGATAGTTGATAGATAGATGACAGATAGATAGATAGATAGATAGATAGATAGATAGATAGATAGATAGATAGATAGATAGATAGATAGATGGATGGATGGATGGATGGATGGATGGATGGATGGATGGATGGATGGATGGATGGATGGATGGATGTGGATGGATGGATAGATAGATAGATAGATATAGATTGCATTTAAATACTAAAATTATTAAAAAAAACTTTAATTTTAGAATTGTGACTAAGATAAGAGTAAGTATTTTCTTTTTATGTTTCAGAATCGGTGATTCGGGAATAAAATCATTTGTCGACGGTCGTTCAGCTCCCAAATTAAAAGAACTCAATTTGGCTAATTGTTACCACATCTCTGACATTGCCCTCGTGAAAATATCTGAAAGGTATCACGTTTTAAGATGTTTTTTATTTGCCAATCCTTAGCAATGATAGATTATAGAGAGATAAATAGATAGATGATAGATAGATAATATAGATAATAGCGAGAGAGAGAAAGAGATGATAGATGATAGATAGATAGATAGATAGAGATAGATAGATAGATAGAAGAGATAGATAGATAGATAGATAGAAGAGAAAGATAGAGATAGATAGATAGATAGATAGATAGATAGATAGATAGATAGATAGATAGATAGATGAGAGAGAGATGATAGATGATAGATAAGAGAGATGATAGATGATATAGATATAGATAGATGATAGATGATAGAGAGCGCACGAGAGAAAGATAGGAGAGAGCTGATAGATAGATAGATGGATGGATGGATGGATGGATGGATGGATGGATGGATGGATGGTTGGTTGGGTGGGTGGGTGGGTGGGTGGTCTGAGGACGCTGAGAGCAACGCCAGGGGTTCTGACCCTATTTGACAGGTCTCAGCAGAGGAGGCAGACGGAGTGTCTCTCCCATAAAAGATACATAATTTACAGAAGCCCCTGGCAGATTGGTCGTCACCCATGTCAACACAGGACCCCACTAGGTGTTAAGAGTTTGAAATAATTTGTAATAATTATTCTACGAAATTGGCTGGGGGATTAAAGCCATAAGATGTTTAGCTTCGAGCCGGGCCCAAGATGGAAGCAGCAGCACTGAATGGATGCCATTCATACAGCTCTGGCATCCTTTACACCCATCGCCCGGATTAAACAAAATTTTCTCTCTTAGCTGTCAAAACATTCAACCCAATACGATTCCGTGAAGCTTCGCCGGCAGCACACAAAGAAGGCTTGTTGTGAAATGGCACAGGCCTCGCATAAAGGAAGCCAGGATGTCGTTCAGAATTTTAAAACCGAGTTACATTTAATTCGTCAAAACAGGCTGTGTGGTAATGCCACCGTTTGGAAGGAATGAAACCCTTCCAAAAAAAATAAAGTAAAATAGATCTCCTTTCCAAGGAAGGGAAGGTTCCAGAACATCTTCCAATAGATTGATGAATGCGTAGGCGCTGCAAAATTCGAAAAGTTTTGTCTGTGTGTCTGGGTATTTGTGTGTGGGCATGCATGCTTTATGTCCCTTCTATGACTTGAAAGTTCCACTTTAATTTTCTTCGTTGGAATGCGCTGTGCAGGGATTCCTCAACTTACGACAGTTTATTTAGTGACCGTTCAAAGTTACAACAGCCCTGATAAAAAAAGTGAGTTAGGATCGTTTTCCCCACTTACGAACGTCGCAACTCTCCCATCGTCACGTGATCAAAATTTAGACGCTTGGCGACCGACTCATATTAACGACGGTCGCAGCGTCCCGGGGACGACGTGATCCCCTTTTGTGACTTTCCGACGAGCAACGTCCATGGGGAAGCCAGATTCACTTAGCGACTGAACAAGGGCAGTGATTCACTTAGCAACAGTGTCAAGAAAGGTCGCGAAACGGGGCAGAATCTCACTTAACAAACGTCTCGCTTAGCAACGGAAATTTTGGGCTCCAGTGTGTTCGTAAGGCGAGGATTACCTGCGTGTGCCACACATGTATTATAGCATAAGTAAGAAACATTTCAGAAAAATGTTCTCCTGTCTTTTCTTTAGGTGCCCGAATCTCATTTATTTGAACTTGCATAATTGCCAACTTGTGACGGATACGGGGATTCAGGCTATGACAGCGATGGCTTCATTAGCCTATCTCAATATTTCACGGATAGGCGTCACTGATCAGGTGAGGAGCCAGAAAATTGGAAAATGGATTGCGAGGCATGATTTCTTGAATATGCCCATGTTTGTGGGGTTTTGTGGATCATTGTCATTTTTCCTGTGTGTCCAGTCACACTTGGCCAATAAAGAATTCTGTTGTTTTGTTCCGTTCCGTTCCATTCCATTCCATATTTTCTATTCTATATTTCTATTCTATTCTATTCTATTCTATTCTATTCTATTCCATTCCATTCCATTGTAATTCTATTCTGTTCCGTTCCATTCCATTCCATTCTATTCTATTGTAATTCTATTCTGTTCTATTCTGTTCTGTTCCGTTCCATTCCATATTTTCTATTCTATATTTCTAATTCTATTCTATTCTATTCTATTCTATTCCATTCCATTCCATTGTAATTCTATTCTGTTCCGTTCCATTCCATTCCATTCTATTCTATTGTAATTCTATTCTGTTCTATTCTGTTCTGTTCCGTTCCATTCCATATTTTCTATTCTATATTTCTAATTCTATTCTATTCTATTCTATTCTATTCTATTCCATTCCATTCCATTCCATTCTATTGTAATTCTATTCTGTTCTGTTCTATTCTGTTCCGTTCCATTCCATATTTTCTATTCTATATTTCTAATTCTATTCTATTCTATTCCATTCCATTCCATTCTATTGTAATTCTATTCTATTCTATTCTATTATGTTCTGTTCCATTCCGTTCTATTCTATTCTATTGTAATTTTATTCTGTTCTATTCTATTCTGTTCTGTTCCATTCCATTCCATTCTATTCTATTTTGTAGAATAATAATTATTGTTATATTAGATGGCTAGTGCATTAACGGTGGTTTCAAATGTCAACAGGGTTTGGAGAGCCTTGGCAGACATTTGAAAATTAAGGAGATTATTCTGTCGGAGTGTAGGCTGATTTCTGACACAGGAATGAAGGTAAAATAACAGACAGGTGTCACATCCGTGACTCTGTTGGATTTTGTGTGTTAATATTTTGAGATTTAATATAAATTTCAATATAAAATTAATTGTCATTCTTATAGAAGTGTTATGCTTGCTTTCTGTGGGACTCAAATTCATCCCTATTTTAATAGAATAGAATAGAATAGAATAGAATAGAATAGAATAGAATAGAATAGAATAGAATACAAAATGGAATAGAATAGAATAGAATAGAATAGAATACAAAATGGAATAGAATAAAACGGAATAGAATAGAATAGAATGAGGAGAAAGCTGGTTATTTCAAGGAGAAATACATTAATGAACATGATTGATAAGCTCTCTCTGGTTAATACACACAAACACATTGAAACCCTACATCTGTGTAACTTACGTTCCAGGTATTGTGTACTGAATTGAAAAAACTAGACTACGTTGATTTGTCCTTCTGTCGGCACATATCAAATGCTACATTAAAAAATTTGTCGTTAAATTGCCGCAGACTCACCTGTCTCATTATGGTGGGTTGTATCAAGGTACGTATGAAAAGCACGATACTTAATGTCTTCCCCCCCCCCCCACCTCTTCATTTTGAGTATGGCACAAGTAATAAAAAAAACTTTTCCAGGATCCTGTCAAGTCTGCCCCATCCAAAGTGGCTATTTTTGTTACTAATAATTTTGGCACATGGAGATTCCTGTGCATCCCCTTTATTTCAGATGGAGAGTTAAAGGCCAAGCCCTCCGTGATAATTTCATTTTTAAGCCCAGTTTCCCCATCCTTGGTTCTATATATTTTACCAGCAATTGTGGCTAGGTCTAGATTCCAGATCATGAGGATGGGAGACGCTTGTTGTTTGCCTCTTCTTTCTAAAAGCAAGGAGTATCCCATCTTGGCAATTTTAAGACTCGTGGATTTCAACTCTCAGAATTCCCCAGTTAGCCATGGTGGCTAGGGAATTCTGGGAGTTGAAGTCCACGAGTCTTAAAATTGCCAAGGTGGGATACCCTAACCCAGGGGTCCTCAACCTGTGGGCCGTGGGCCGGTATCGGTCCGTGGCCTGTTGGTGACCGGGCTGCAGGAATGGTGGCGAGTGCGTGCACCCTCCCCACTCATAGACACTTAACAAACTAGTTTCCATATTATTCCTCTCCATACCTCTCTAGTTTTGCAAACCATTCTTGCTTCAAGTACTGGTGATAGTACAGTCTATCCCACATTGGTGTCTCTTACCAAGACGTAGGCTAGTAGCAGAAACACAATACATTTTGGGCATATATGGGCTACTAGGACTCCAGGCTACCAAAGACCAATTTTACTCCAAGCATACTCACGTTATTCTAGTAGGCTAGGACAGTGATGGCGAACCTTTTAGAGACCGAGTGCCCAAACTGCAACCCAAAACCCACTTACATATCGTCGGGTGCCGTGTGGGTGTGGCCCATTGGGTGGGCGTGGCCCATTGGCTGGGCGTGGCTGCGGTGCTAACAGCAGACTGGGTGGGACTAAAAAGTTCAATCAATTCCAACTTTGCAAGATCTTTTTTTTTCCCGCCAGAAGTTGAAATTGACTGATTGATTGAACCTTTTTTTTTGCACATGGCGGCGGAGGCCTAAAGCGAAAAGGTTTTATAAAACCCAGCTGAAGGCCTAGGACTGGGACGATGGCGCACGTGCCCACAGAGAGGGCTCTGAGTGCCGCCTCTGGCACCCGTGCCATAGGTTCGCCACCACTGGGCTAGGATCTCTCATCTAAAGCAAGGGTCCACAACCCCCAGCCCGCAGACCGGTCCTGGTCCACGGCCCGATAGCGAACCATGGACCAGTACTTCATCTGTGCATGTGTGGGATCTAGGTAGCGCGTGAAACCAGGTCTCCACCCCCGGTTCCTGGTGTCCAAAAAGTTGGGGGACCGCTGATCTAAAGAATACTATGCAAGCCAACACACTGTGGCCTGCATCACACCCACTAGGAATGAGGTGGTGACCCCAAATTATCTGAGGATTTCCCTGGCATATTGTTAAGTCCAACTTTAAGGCGTTCAGAGTAATTCTGTTACTTATTTTTTTTAAAAAAAATATTATATTATAGGAAAGGACACGTTTATTCCAGCATATAAGAGCACCTAAGTCAAGGTTTCCTATTCCGCAGTGTTGACGTTGTCATTTACGAACGGCTTTCCACTCTCTGTCACGTTTTTGCTTGATTGACAGATCAACGATTCAGGGATCCAGTTAATAGCTTCGGGGTGCAGTTTCCTGCATTATCTGGATATTTCGGGTTGCAAAAATGTTACCGACAAAACACTAAAAAACCTGGCCAAAGGCTGCCTGCAACTCCGGATACTTAAAATGTTGTACTGCGCAGGCATTACCCGGTAAGATGGTCTCTGAGACGAATGTACAGATTCCCTCAACGAAACAATCCTTTTAAATAATATACAGATAGTTCTCGACTTTAACAGCCATGCGTTTAGTATTCCAAGTGTGGCCTTACCAAGGCCTTGTAAAGCGGTATTAACACTTCACGTGATCCTGATTCTATCCCGCTGTTCATGCAGCCTAGCACTGTGTTGGCTTTTTTGGCAGCTACAGCACAGTGCTGGCTCATGGTTAATTGTTTTCACTATCAGGAAGTTTCTCCTTAGTTCTAGGTTGCTTCTCTCCTTGATTAGTTTCCACCTGTTGCTTCTTGTCCTGCCTTCAGGCGCTTTGGAGAATAGCTTGACTCCCTCTTCTTTGGGGCAGCCCCTGAGATCCTGGAGCACTGCTATCATGTCCCCCCTCGTCCTTCTCTTCATTAAACTAGACATACCCAATTCCAGCAGCCGTTTCTTATATGCTTTAGCCTCCAATCCCCTGATCATCTTTGTTGCTCTTCTCTGCACTCTTTCTAGAGTCTCAACATCTTTTTTACATCGTGGTGACCCAAACTGGATGCAGTATTCCAAGTGTGGCCTTGCCAAGGCCTTGTAAAGCGGTATTAACACTTCACGTGATCTTGATTCTATCCCTCTGTTAATGCAGCCTAGCACTGTGTTGGCTTTTTTGGCAGCTGCAGCACACGGCTGGCTCCTGTCTAAGTGATTGTCCACTAGGACTCCGAGATCCCTCTCACAGTTACTACTATTGATCAATGTACCCCCTATACCATTTCAGACAAATGGCTGTCCAGTCTCTTCTTAAAAACGTCCCGTACTGGAGCATTCACAGCTTCTGGAGGCAGGTGGTTCCACTGGTTAATTGTTCTCACTGTGTTCGGGGAACACATCTTTCATATTTCGCTGGCTAAATCTGTTATTTATCATCCCCCGGGGTTATTTCAAGCTAAAAAACAGTGATCTTCAGCCAGGCCCTGTTGTCCTGTTAGGCAGAAAGAAGCAGCTGACTCAAAAAGCAGATGCTGGAGTCTTGTAAGTGAGATGGAGAAGACCATTCAAGTCCCCTGCTAGACTCAGAATAACCGAATTGGAAGGGACCTTGGAGGTCTTCTAGTCCAACCCTCTGCTCAGGCAGGAAACCCTATACCATTTCAGACAAATGGCTGTCCAGTCTCTTCTTAAAAACTTCCAGTGTTGGAGCATTCACCGCTTCTGGAGGCAGGTTGTTCCACTGGTTAATTGTTCTCACTGTCAGGAAGTTTCTCCTTAGTTCTAGGTTGCTTCTCTCCTTGATTAGTTTCCATCCGTTGCTTCTTGTCGTGCCTTCAGGCGCTTTGGAGAACAGCTTGACTCCCTCTTCTTTGTGGTTGCTAATAATGAAGCTGCTAATTATGTCTTCTCACCTTACGCCATTTCTCTTTTAGTCCGGCCGTTTTAAATTACGCCCCGAGGCTCCAGAAATACGAATACAACGACGACGAACCGCCTCTGTGGTTTGATTATGGCATCAGCGGCGACGAATTGATGATGCCGAAGAAACTGAAGAAGCACCGGTACAGCACGGTGGTGCCGAGACCCAGCATCGTGGGGATTTCGGGAGAAAAAGACTTGGAACACGCCAAGCTTCCGCTGATTGAAACCGTAACCGAACAAGCCGTGGAAGAAAGTTTGATCTCACCGGGAAGCCTGGCAGAAGATCCCTAAAAAAAAAGGTGCCAGATGTTTAAAACTCCCTAAAAGCCGACCATCCTTTTTGTTAGTGGGGGAAAAAAATGTACTTTTTTTAAAAAGAAAAGAAATGCTTTTTATTTATTGGTAACCAAGTCCCTGTCAAACAGTGTTCCTTTTTTTTTGTTCTTAAAAACTTTAGAGGAAAATTTTATGACTTTGTTTTGTTTCTTCTTCGGAGGAAACGTTTGGGAGTAGTGGATTAATCCTATTATGTCCTAAAGGTCATGTTCTCCTTTCCTGGGGCTGTGGCTGATGGGCTATGTCCTGTGTTGAGTTTTTTTGGGGGTGAGGGGTTGTTGGTTCCAGGGGTCTTCGTCTTTCTAATCCTATCAGCTCCAAGCTTCCTGGCTCCAGTTTTTCTGAAAGGATTATTTTAGTTATTAAAAGATGTCTGTTGTTTGTCTGCAGCCTTAGCATAAAGCATGTGAAGTTGGTTGTTTTTACTGACGGGGGGAAAAAATCGTAATATTTTATTGTGCTCAGTATTTCTTACCTATATCCAAAGAGTTAAGCCATAAGGGGGCAAAATGCTTTTGCAAACAAATAATTGACATGTCATATACACTCATTCTGAGAGTCATAAAAACATAGGGTTGAAGGGACCTTGGAGGTCTTCTAGTCTAACCCTCTGAATGAGGCAGGAGACCTTATTACTTATTACATCCTTGAAGACCACATGTTGAAAACTAAAGAGAATTTTCCTAACAGTGAGAACAATTAACCAGTGGAACAACCTGCCTCCAGAAGTGGTGAATGCTCCAACACTGGAAGTTTTTAAGAAGAGACTGGACAGTCATTTGTCTGAAATGGTATAGGGTTTCCAGCCTGAGCAGGGGGTTGGACTAGAGGACCTCCAAGGTCCCTTCCAACTTTATTAGTATTATTATTCCCTCCAGTGAATTTGTTCCATTGATTCACTGTTTTTGTGATTGTCAGGAAATTTCTCCTTAGCTCCAAGTTGAATCTCTCTTTAAACGAGCTCATCAAAAAGGATAAACATTTCTCCAATTCAGAGAAGTAACATTCGCACTTTCTTTATCAGGAAATACGAGCAATCGCCTTTCATTCTTCTGTCTATGTTTAAAAAAACGAAGTATTATCAAGGAATATTCAGCTTCAAAGACTGGAACCAGCTTTGCATTTTGAGAGTTACTGTGCCACGCTGCGTCTCCGCTTTAATGCATTTCCCTTTTTCATCCTTTTGATCCAGGTGGCCTGGAAAAAAAAACAATAATTAGTTATTTTCACACATTATTAAGGGTCTTCTATATTTTAAATGTTCCGGAAATCGGCTTGACCGAGTGAAATCGTTATATTGTAATAATAAGGCCAGCTTTGTAGGTTTTTTAAAAACGATCGGCGATCAATCTTGAGCAGTGGTTCTCAACCTTTTTAATGCCGCGACCCCCAACCGGTCGTAAGTCGAGGACTAAACCGGTCGTAAGTCGAGGGCTAAACCAGTCGTAAGTCAAGGACTACCCAACCGGTTGTAAGTCGAGGACTTTCCCTGCCCGGGAGCGCCGCGCATGCGTGGTTCCGTCCCCTGCGCCGGCCGAGGCGTAGCTGGCAAGCGGCAGAGACGGAGCAGGCCGACCACCAGCTGGCCCAGCCCAAGGGAGGTAAGGCACCCGCCGGAAAAGGGGAAAAAAATGGCGGACAAAAAAAATGGCGGACAGCCTTGCTTGGCGACCCCCGTGAAATGGTCGATCGACCCCAAATGGGGTCCCGACCCACAGGTTNATGAAAACACTCTGTAGGTAAATCTAGATTCTTTTGGTGTAGATAGCGACTATTTCCAATTTTAGAGTCAAATTTTCTATTGCTGAATGTTATTGTTGACAGTGGTCAGACAAGAACGGGAGTATTGTAGAGAGTAATTCACTGTGTCAATATTTCTGCACCAAGCTCAGAAGTCTACAATGTTCTCCAACTGTTTTCCAAAACAGTAAAATTACAAGCATCTTTGACAAAAGGTAAAACAGAAACCCTTAACTTCTTACGCGTCATTTTTCTCTCCAAAATGAAAGAATGATCCACCATCTGCTTCCTATTCCTATCAGTGGCTTTATCTTTTTCTAAAATATATTGGATTAGACATACAAAACACAGAATGTGGGTTATTTAATACAGAATATTTAAGCCTTCACCTATCTCACATATGTAGGGAATCAAACAAGTTGTGTGCCTAGAAATTTGGATTGTAACTTTATATATAGATCACTCCCTCTGTACGCTTAAGAGAATTATTAATATTTTGGTACTAACTAATAAGGTAACAGAATCTCCCAGAAAAATCTTCCAGCATGTTATGGAGCAAAGGAACCTAAGTAGCTCTAAATTGAGTTGGGATAGATTTCCCATCTTTTAATCTGACACATACCACCAAGTCAACATACCTAAGTTTGCAATATATTCATTACTCCTAATTAGTAATTAAACTGGAAGCGGTTTTAAAAGTATTTAAGAATTTCCAGCTGCCCACGAAGTAAACATCACAAAATCGGCGCTTTTCAAAGGGGGAACAGCCGAATTTCTCTCCGGAAAATATTTAAATGCTTAGATCTGGTGGGGGGACCAGATTATATCAGTTGAGTTCTTATTTGCAGCGAACAATCAACAGTCAAAGTGTTTTGAAAACGATGGAGGTCACTGAACTACAGTCAGGAACGCAGCAGTAGCTCAGAGCAGATAATAATAATAATAAAGTTGGAAGGGACCTTGGAGGTCATCCAGTCCAATCCCCTTGGAGGTCATCTAGTCCAACCCCCTGCTAAGGCAGGAAACCCTATGCCATTTCAGATAATAGAATAGAATAGAATAGAATAGAATAGAACAGAACAGAACAGAACAGAACAGAACAGAACAGAATAGAATAGAATAGAACTAATCAAGGAGAGAAGCAACCTAGAAGTAAGGAGAAACTTCCTGACAGTGAGAACAATTAACCAGTGGAACTCCTTGCCTCCAGAAGCGGTGAATGTTCCAACACTGGAAGTTTTTAAGAAGAGACTGGACAGCCATTTGTCTGAAATGGTGTAGGGTTTCCTGCCTCCAAGGTCCCTTCCAACATCGTCATCATCATCATCATCATCATCATCATCATCATCATAGAATAGAATAGAATAGAATAGAATAGAATAGAATAGAATAACAGAGTTGGAAGGGACCTTGGAGGTCATCTAGTCCAACCCCCTGCTCAGGCAGGAAACCCTATACCATTTCAGATAAGAATAGAATAGAATAGAATTGAATTGAATAGAATTGAATAGAATAGAATAGATCAGAACAGAATAACAGAGTTGGAAGGGACCTTGGAGGTCATCTAGTCCAACCCCCTGCTCAGGCAGGAAACCCTATACCATTTCAGATAAGAATAGAATAGAATAGAATTGAATTGAATAGAATTGAATAGAATAGAACAGAACAGAATAACAGAGTTGGAAGGGACCTTGGAGGTCATCTAGTCCAAC